TGCATCGTGCACGAGCGCATTTAAAAGTGCCTGGTTGCTCATTAGTCTGAAAAGAACTTCTGACCAAAAAATTGCCTATGTTTTTGTGGCGTTTGAATGAAATGAGCGGAGGCTGCGAAAAGATAGTGCTTGTCTCTGGATCGTTTTAAAGCAATTTAAGAATGTTAAGAATGATGGATTTAACTGAGTGGTTGTGAGGGTGAAACGTGAGAGTGAATGGAATGCGGTCGGAATCTTCCTTATGCGACGTTTGAAGTGCTGAACGTCGATCAATAAGTTGATCGTATACAAGAGTCGTATACATAGTATGTATATCATATACAATAGTCGCCTCTCGTTAATCTGTAAAGGCAGATGCCAAGTCTTTCCTCTGGCGAGAATCGGTTCTTCTGTCACTGTTTGTTTCCCGAGTCGGTGCCGAATACGACTTAAAATAAAGTTAAAAGCTTGTCGAGAAACTCGAAGAGTTTTATCGAACCTCGCATCAGAATATAAAGTTGCCCCAAACCTTCTTCCACCAACCAGTATTCCGGTTCAAACGACGGAAAGATCGAACTCGAGATCGAACTGATCGAGGAACAGAAGAGATACTGTGCTTGAACGCTGAGATTAGCAGCAGCAGAACTAAGGAAATTTGGAGAAGTCACTTTCTCCTTGCTGTAATATATTGTAAGGCCATTTGCACAAAAGCTCTTCGCCTTCTTCTGGCACTTATCTTTTTATAAAGGAAACAACGCGCAGAGCGCTAAAAGCTTCCATCATCCGCCATCTTTGGACAGGATAAGGCGGAAAATAGAATTAGGGCCTGGGAACCAACTCTCTCGTTGGTGGGTCGACCCAAACTGGACTTTAGTTCGGCACATGTAAAGTTCGACGTTTAAACGGAGCCTTATTCTTTTTAATGGTAGGAAATTCTCAACTGAGGTCAACTAATGATAGCCTTTCAGATAGATACCTACAGAGACAATTTGGTTTGATCACTGAACTAAATTGATAATGTAAACCGGCCACCGTAAAAAGTTTTACTGAAGCTGACGTTTGAAACGCTAGCCCATCGTCAGAGCGAATGACGACGGGTAACGTTCGAAACGTCAGCTTTTCAACTTTTTACGGTGGCCAGTTAACATTATCAACTCAACTGATAAAACCAAATTACCTTATTACCTCCACCGACTCAGCACCACAGTTTCTTTAGAAACTTGTCTCTTTTACCTGCACAGGCAACTGAGTAGATATTTTATAAAGGGATTCGAGCAACAGAAACTTTGTATTAGTCCGATAAACTACAGATAATAGCGTTGGGAACGAGAAATCGACGTATCTATCTACTCAAAAGCGAAAATGCTGACTGTATTAATCAGTAATCTCAATCAATAAACACCTTTCTGATCATTCGTTTTCCTAGATATCTTGGAATCTAGAATAGGAATTATTGTAACTCACCGTTTCAATTCACGACGTTTAGGAACTTTGAATTGGACACAGAAATAGTTTATCCTAAAGGATCAGATGAAGAAACTTCTTTAACCCGTCACTTACCGAGCCACGTTTTTTTGAGGGTGCAGTGCATTATGATCTCGTGATGTTAGCAATGTCTATTTTTGTGGCGTAGCGCCGTAAGTAACAAATGACAGTTTGAATTAGCTGAAAGAACTAATCAATTCCCTTTGTGCGTGCCGACATCAGTTAAGGACCCTTTAAAACGCCCTTTAGTCTAGTTGATAAAAAAACAGAAACAATTCACTAACCTTTCCACCAAAAGGAAAACTACAAAATCCAACCAAATGATCAGTACATACGATGCATGAAATAAACAACCATCGAGGTTGAACACCAGACAAGAAATTCCTAGAAAGAAATGACACCGCGGGTTTATATTTCGGGTCAAGATTTCCTATTTGTACAGTGTTATAAAATGTAAACAGTATTTCAATTTAGAACCAATCAAAACGCCTTTTAAGCTAGTTGATAAGTGTCAAGAAAGCCGGGCCTACTGAGCCTACTGAACAATGAATGATGAAGAGACAATAGAGCCAACCTTTTTTTAGACATGTATTGTTGAATAATTGACATTAACCTAACGCGGGGTTAGAATTTCATAATCACACAGGAGTTGAACGCGAACACTGTCTTTATAAGAATCTCGCAGTTTAGAGCCTATTTTGGTAATAGAATCAAGCCTTACTGTGACAGAAGGAATCAAGGCAGTTAAAATTCTTACAATCAGCAAATAAACAATGAACTAACCTTTTCATCTCAAGGAAAGCCACAAAATCCAACCTATTTCCACAACGTTATGAAGTGTAAACAATATTTCAAGCGAGTAACGGATTGTAGGTAATTGCCTTCGAGTGTCCTGTATTTCTTGTTGAATTGCTAATTCGATTTTATTTCGGCTTTAAACATCTCGCCACGGGAAGAGAAGGTGGGAGCGAGGGTTCTTGTCATTCTATCACTGCCTGTCTTGCGTAATGTTTAATCTTATTTATTGGAATCAAATTCTCAACTGAGGTCATCAGTTTGAATTTCCTGTTCTACAATGTTTGCGATTGGGAGGAATCTTCGCAGGACATTAAGACCCATTAATGCTGCCGTTCTAGGACTTCCAGAATTTAAAATTAAAGCATTTTTCTAAAGAAACACTCTTTAGAGCGGCTCTTAAATTGAGGTTTTCACCCAAGAGCTTTTATCAAGTCTCTCACTGTGCTATTCGGTATTGTTGATGTCTGCATTCAAAGCCAATGCGGCCAAGATCATTCGTGTCTACAAGAATTTTTTGAAAACAAGACTGGAAAGCGAGAAATGACTATGTTTATGGCTATGTTCTGGAATTATCGCCTTGACTGGGACTGAGTTGAATACTAAGCTGTTCGGAGTTGACTGATCTTTCATATTCATAGCTCCCTGATGGTGATTCGGGATTCTAGCCAAATCATGGCGCTGTTGCTTACATTAAGCTCAGTATTTATAGTGATTGAAGAGATAATGTCATAACGGAATTGGCAATCGAAATACCGTGCAAAATACTACTGTCACATATATCAATCAAGTTTACGGCAATCTGTGTTTAGAAAAAGTCGTACTTTGTAATCTTTCAGGAACTGTTTAATTCGACGCAGGAACAGTTTCATCTAACAGATCAGATGAAGGAATTTTTTTATACCATCACTAACCAAATCACGCGTTCTTTTAAGGGTGCGGTGCATACTTATCTCGTGATTTTAGCAATGTCTATTTTTGTGGCGCAACGTCAATTGTGACAAATAACAGATTGGACTAGTTGCACCTCAATTTAGAATCAATACAAAGGCCCTTTAGTCTACTGGTCTAGTTGTTAAGCAAAAGAAACAATTAACTAACCTTTCCACCAAAAGGAAAACCACAAAATCCAACCAGATGATCAGCACATACGATGGATGAAATAAAAAACCATCAGGGTTAAACACTTGATAAGACGTTCCTAGAAAGAAATGACATCGGGTTTGTATTTCGGGTCAAGATTTCCTATTTCTACTGCGTTATGAAGTGTAAACAATATTTCAAGCTAGTAACGGATTGTGGGTAATTGCGTTTGAGTATCCTGCATTTCTTGTTGAAGGGCTAATTCGATTTAGTGATTTCTGCTTTAAAGATCTCGCCCCTGGAAGAGAAAGTGGGAGCGAGAATTTTTGTCATTGTCATTGGAATCAAATTCTCCACAGAGGTCACCATTTTGAATTTCTTGTTCTAGAATGTTTGTGATTGGGAGGAATCTTTGCCAATCTTTAATGCTGCCATTCTTGGACTTCCAGATTTTAAATCTAAAGTATTTTTCTATGGAAAAATTCTTTAGAGCTGCTCTTAAATTGAGGTTTTCACGCGCGAACTTTTATTGAGTCTCTTTCTGTTTCATTCGTTTTTGTTGCTATCAGCGTTAAAAGGGCAACGCGGCCAAGGTCACTCGTGTGTACAAGAATGCTTTAAACAAAGCAGGAAAGCGAGAGATAATTAATGGGTCGTTAATGGCCGGCAGTAATGTACGGAAATTATCGACTTGACTGGGATTTAATACTAAGCTGTTCGGAGTTGACTGATCTGTCATATTCATAGTCCCCTTATGGTAATTAGGGATTCTAGCCAAATCGTGGCGCTGTTGTTTACATGAAGCTAAGTATTTAAAGTGAATAAAAAGGTACCGTCAAACAGAACTGGCAATCGAAACACCGTAAAAAATACTTCTGTCACGTACATCAATCAAGTTTTCAGCAATCTGTGTTCAGAAAAAAGCGTACTTTGTAATCTTGTTGCCCTTTGTCTGGCATTTTATAAAGCTCGGAAGTTTGTTGATATATAATACATTTTTTCCAACCGTAAGATAGCGAAAGCTTTTGGTGGAGATGATGATAGACTTTCAGAAAGCTACCAACACAGACAACTGACTAGATATTTTATGAACTGAGTCAAACAACAGAAACTTTGCATCATCCAATTAAACTACAGATAATAGCCTTTGGAACGAGAAATCGACGTATCTATCTATTCAAAAGCGAAAGTGCTATTTCGTTCGGCAAACGCTTCTCTGCTTTGATCATTAATTCGTTTCCTTGGACATTGGAAAATGAGCTAGGAATTACTTTAACTCACTGTTTCAATTCAAGACTTTCAGGAACTGTTGAATTTGACGCAGGAACCGGCAGTTTCATCCAACAGATCTGATGAAGAAAATTTTTTATACTATCACTTACTGAACCACACGTTCTTTTAAGGGTGTAGTGTATATTGATCTCGTGATTTTAGCAATGTTTATTTTTGTGGCGTAACGTCAATAATGTGACAAATGACATACTGGACTACAGGATGAAATAACTAAATTAAGTTTCCTTAAAGGTAACTTAAAGGTTAACATTGGAAGTATTTAAGTCATCCTTAGGTGACATACGGAAGTTCTGAAATGTATCTTTAATCGAACTTTCCGAAGTCAATTAAAGTGTCCTTATGAACCATTTAGTTAACACTTTAAGGTCACATGAAAGCAAACCTAAATAACCATTTCATGAACACTTTAAGATCACATGAAAGCAAACCTAAATAACCATTTAATTGAATTTAGGAATCCTCTTAATTCTTGTAAAGTCAACTTTAGTCAACCAAAACTTCCACTTGTAAATGCATCTTAAAGGTTTCTTCAATCTTTTGTTTCCCTTTAAGTACTGCTTAAAGTTACAGGTTTTGTTGTAATTCATCTTTAGTTGTACTTTCTGATTCTCTTAAATTTCAAGTTTTGTTAACATTCATCATTAAGTGACCTTTAAGCGCCTCTAAAGGCTGCAGGTTTCACTTTCAACTGACTTTTGATTTGCTTAATCACACCCTCATTTATATCCCAATAACTTATGATATTTTGGGCAACCTTACAATTGATAGAAAAAGAAGCATCACACATTCAAGTAATAACAAAGTGTTTGAAATTGCAGTGATGAAATAGTTTCGTTCAAAACTCATTTGTTCCCCTGAGATAACATAAACCTACAATGAAGCTGAGGATATCCCAGTCGAGCCCCATA